TGAGGCAGAAGGATCGCTTGAGCCCAGGAGTTTGAGGTTGCTGTGAGCTAGGCTGACGCCACGGCACCCTAGCCCAGGCAAAAGAGTGAGACTCTGTCTCAAAAAAAAAAAAAACCATGTCTTTATTGGGTTCCTTCCTTCCTTTCTTCCTTTCCTTTTCATTCATTCATTTCTTTATCCATTCATTTTCATCCAGCATTTAAAAAAGCCACACACTGTGCTGTGGGCTGAGAATGCAAATATGAACGAAAGTAAACCCTGCCCTCTGGGAGTTAACAAGCTAGGGATAGGCAGAAAGAAGGAAGGACAGGCAGGGCCAAGGTGAGGATGTGGTTAGAATAAACGAATTAGGGAGAAGAATGTAATGCGGTACGATGGGCAATTGCAAGAGACCAACAACATAAAGACTAGGTGTGACTGTTGAAGGAAGAGAAGTCCAACTACCTGCCAGGTAGACCAGAGACAGAAGGGAGCCAGTGAGATCTACAGGTGGGTCTCCCAACACAGCAGGGATTCCCAGTACCCTAACCCAGCAAAACCTACCGTGTTTTGCAAGGAAGCTTCACTTTCCGCCATGCTCACTCGCATCTGAGTGATGAGCCTGCGTGTGTCCTGAACTCGGTTCTGATACTGACTTCCCAGGGCCCGAACTCTTTCCACAGTCGTCTTGAGGTCATCCAGGCGGTTCCGATAGCTGTTCTCTTGGCTCCTCATCTTGGCCAACTGGAGACCGAGGGATCTACTAGCACCTGAACACAAAGAAGGAAAGGGCGGATGAGCACTTTCCAGGTCAGTATGGAGTTAGAACACGTAACGGAGGGTTGACTGGCTTATGGCAACATGACAAAAATGTGCATGCAACCGTTCTTTTATCTCCATCATTCAGGTACCAGGGGAATGTCACAAACAGTCCTTCTACCTCTGCCAGGGCTGGCTGGAGATACCTGCTGAACTGATGTCCACAGAAGATTCTGCAACCTAGTGTAGCAATTCTTTCTAGGGCTATGAATTCTCTCCTGTCTAAGGAAGGAAGTTGGCGTCATCACCTTCTGAAATCTGGGCTTCTCTCAGAATGTCCCGGAGGGCCTGCTCAGCCTGCTGCATCCTGCCTTCCAGCTCTGTGTTGGGTATTGCTCCACCGCCAGCCTGAGCCTTCGAAATCAGGGCCTCCAGGCTCTGAAGCTGCTGCATAAACTGATCCATCTGAAACCACACAGGAAAGAGGATCAGAGGGAGGATGGAGACAGCGGTCCAATACCAGGCACCC